CAGCTGAAATCGGCCGTACAAGCCAGAAGTGAATAGCCGAACAGCGTTCGGCTTCACTTTGGCTGGGTTATTCACTCGGTTGCCTTCGGCAGCTTTGTGAACAACCCTCTAGATCTTCTTTCAAACAGTGCCTACAGATAAAGGTGATATACTTGAACATATGACACATAAAATTGATATGTTGTATTCATTCTCATGTAAATGAGCAAAAATTGTTGTGACAAACTTAGCTTAAAGGCAGCCATTTTATGTATCTTAGTAGGTTAGAGGATTTCCTTAGATTTCCAGGAACTTATGTAACCAATATTCTTGTGTAATATACTCTTGCCAACCCCTTGCGGAATGAATATCTTGTGGGAGTATGCTTCTGCTTTTGTCATAATTAGTTACACAAAATGACAACTGTTATCTATCCCAGTAACTGTCTGGATCATGCTATTCTACACGTATCTGTTCATTTCACGCTATAAAAACTTGCAGCACTTTTAATAAACAGAACAACTTGCTTACCAAACCTAAACTGTTCTCCGTGTGCACACATACTGGATTTTAATGCATGACTTGGGTTCTGTCATAACAACTTGGAGAGCCAGAAGCCAGGAGTTGGACTGAATTGTCGGGCCAGTCGTAAGAAGACCATTGACTATGTTCATCACAGACACCTAAGGCACCTGGTAAGCTTACCCTCTTGCTTACTTTTTGTCTCTGCGTTGAGCCTGTCTTTTGTCGGCTGCACGGCACAACTTTCGAACCTGTCTTACATAATCGATTTGTTGGGTTTTTGTCCACCTAGATTTTTCTAAAAAGCAATACTGAAGTATTACATTTGTTGGTTTTGTTGACTGCCGTTATATTCAGTTACTATAGATAAGTCTTTTCATCAACCGTTTTTTGATACTCTGTGTGAGGTAGACTATCTTTGTTATTGCCATTGTTACATTCAGTAACTATTTATAAGTCTTTTAATCGACCGTATTTTGATACTCTGTTTGAGGTAGACTATCTTTGTTACTGCCGTTGTTATATTCAATAACTATAGATAAGTCTTTTAAACAACCGGTTGGCTGCTGAATGTCAACAAACTGGCCAAGGAAACTGGCTGACTATAATTACTGACTATATATTACTGCCATACTAACACCTTACCCAGGATGACTGCTGAGCTGTTTACAATTTGAAACAAGCCAGTGAGTGGCCATAAGTGTCAGTAGTTCTGACTTATGGCTCCAACAGCATGTAGTTCGGGCAGGTGGGCGGACTTGCAAAATCTGACCATTTAGTTTGCCTGTTTGGCGAACAGCTCATCCCTATTGTAATAATTTACCAGAAATCTCACATTGCTGTATGCCTCAATTAAACAGTATAATCCTGTACATTCTTCCCTAATATTGTCATTTTATCACTAAAGTCAAAGGAAAACTCTTCTGGTGATTGGAGCGCTAATTGAAGTTTAACCACTAGAGGGCACTGTAAGACTATGCTATAATCATGTGAGTGCTGGATGGAAAAGGTACAAATAGATAATTGTTAAAACTGAACACTTAAAGAAACGTCCTAAATAGTAAACATGTTATTAGTTGACTGAATTATTTATTAATGGATTGCCAGAACAGAAAATTGGTGAACAGAAAACATGGGTTGGTAGAGCTGGATTTTTGAGAATACAAAAAATAAAATATTCTGATTAAGTAAATTAAATATAAAATATTAATGTAGTTCTAATTGGAAACACAAACATTTTAAAGAAGTGTGAACAATTAAAATAGACGTAAACCAAAGCTCATGGGCTGGGAACCCATTTATTGTGATCTATCTGTCAACCAATGGCAGGTGTCAAGTAGATTGCAACCCCACCGTGCTGGCCCTGCGTCTGAAGTGCTCCTCCCCCATATGTAGAGCGGAGCAGTGAAGCAGCATAGCTATGTGTCCTTCTGTGCTGATCCATTCCAATCCATTTCTTATGGCCATCCCAGGTGCTTGTATGTTACATCACATGCAAGTGTCTGAGATGGATAAGAGAGGCGGGTCAGCAGGGAACAGCATGCCAGAACAGGTTACCATGTCTCACTGCTGCATATTGTATATGCCAGCATGTGGATACTGGCAGCTGTGCCCAGGGAACATGTCTGCTTACTGCATTACAAACTACTGACCTCTGAGCTCTGACCTACAAACTTCCGACCTCTGAGCTCTGTATTTCAAACTGCTGAACTCTGAACCTTGCATTGCACAACAACTGACCTCTGAACTCTGCATTACAAACTACTGACCTCTTACCCCTGACCCCCGCACTCTGTGTTACTTACTACTGACCTCTGTGTTAATTACTTCTGACCCCTGCATTACATAATTCCCAGCTCCCTCCTGTGAAACCGTTGTTTGCTCTGACTTCCCGGCTACCGACCCTTTTGCTTGACCCTTCGACTACGATTCCTGCTGCCCGCCACGACCCGGAACTGGACCTGACTCCCCAATTGGATTATACTTTTGTACTGCGATTTTTGGACTTTGTTCGTCCCTGCCAAGGGGTTCCACACCTGGCTCATTACTTCAGCCCTGACAAATACTGACCTCTATATTACTTGATCCTAGCCCCTGCACTGTCCTAAGCAAAATGTATACTGCCCTTACAGGCTGAACCTAACCTGGCCACTCAGGCCAAAAATCAAAATAGCCAGGCCAGAACTCAGTCCAGCCAGCCAGCTTGGCCAGAATTCCGCCCAGCCAGGTAAGAACTTAGGTAATTTAGCTAGCTTGGCCAGAACTAGGGTTGCCACCCGGACAGTCCAGTTTTGGAGTCTTGCGTCCGGGTGTCCAGCCAGCGGGCACCCAGACACAAGACATTCAGTGCCGACACCGGCACCTTTAATTTTCCGACAGATGCGGCTGCCAACGTCCTCGGCAAGCGCGATCTCGGGCAGCCGCATCTGCCTGAAACAGCACAGGCTGCCTGCAGCTCAGAGGAAGAGTCGCACAGCCCACCTGAAAGTCACACAGCCCACCTGAGAGTCGCATGGACCACATGAGATGCGCACAGCTCACCTGAAAGTCGCATAGCCCACCTGAGAGTCACATAGCCCCACCTGAGAGTTGCATAGCGCATCTGAGAGGCGCACAGCTCACCTGAGAGGCGCACAGCTCACCTGAGAGGCACACAACCCACCTGAGAGTCACATAGCACACCTGAGAGTCACATAGCCCACATGAGAGTCACATAGTCCACATGAGAGTGCGCACAGCTCACCTGAGAGTCGCACAACCCGCCTGAGAGCCGCACAGCCCACCTGAGAGCCCGCACAGGCCCCCAGACCACCTGGAGACATCAGGGTGCCAACCCAGAACAACACAGAGTATGTAGCTTCATATGGTTTTGTATTGCTGTATAATGTATTGCTGTAGTCCTCTATAGGCGGTCTCCTTACTCCCACCCCTGGCTGTCTATTCTTGCTCTTTCTCCTGGCTGCCTCTCCTCACTCTCTCCTCTATATTCTCCACAAAAAAAAATCACAGAGCTAGAGTACTCGGGTTACACTTGAAGAAAAGCCAGAACTTCGTCCAGCCAGGCAAGACTTCAGGCCAGAACTAAAACCAGTTTGCCAGCTAGGCCTGAACTTAGCCAACCAGCCAACTTGACCAGAACTATTCCCAGCTAGCCAAGCAAGAACGTAGCTTAGCCAGCCAGGTAAGAATTCAGGACAGAACTCAGCTCAGTTAGCTAGGACAGATCTTAAACCAGTTAGCCAGGCTAGAACTCGGACCAGACAGGCACACCAGCATTGAGGCCAGCCAGGCCAGAACTCAAACCAGTCAACTTGGCCAAAATTCAAGTCAGCCAACCAGTCAGCCTTTCAACCGTGATTGAAAGTGAATGCCAAGTTTCACACTAAAGCTAACTTTTAAGGTGGGCTAAGTTTATTTACAAAGTGAAATTTGGTTAATTATAGTTTTCAAATGTTTCTTACATTTAATTGGGGCCTTGCTACATTAAAAACAAAAAAAAGAGTGTGGCACTCTGGTGATCTTGATATTTTCCATGTTGTTCTGGTAGATCCCCGCCTCTCAAAGGTTACCTACCCCTGTCCTAGCTGAATCACATTTAATATTTTTATCTTTTTTTTCCCTGCGGCCTCTTTGCAGCCACTTCCTCTCTATATGAACTGGCTTTAGCAGCAGCTTCATGTCATTGTTCCAAATGCTTCCATATGGTGACAATGGTGGTACATTCCTATGCAATAAGCATTGGCATATCCACTTGTAGTTTGTTACAGCACATCTGACAGGGAAAACGCAGGAGCACACCCATTCCGGTGTGCTCCAGATTTGGATTACATGCAGCTGTGCCAATCCATAGTGTGTTGGCACAGTGTGCCATGGTCACCACAGTAAAACTGATGTTCAGCTGCTGTTGTAGGATGCTGATATCCACATAAAGTTCGTACAAAGACTGCAGGATGTGCACAGTGCAGGGAAGGAAAACATGAACACAAATAGGGGAGAACGGTATTTCTCTAAAAATCAGCGATCCAGTTTTCCCTTTGGTGCTCTACACAACTAAGGGGTCTATTCACGAAGCAGCCGAAGGATCTAGCCGTAGCTTTGGCCGATCCTTCGGCTAGCTTCGGCTCCAGGACCCCTTCGGTTCAGTAGAACCGAAGGGTTGCTGTACGGGCTATTCACAATAACCCATATAGCTCCCGAACTTAGCCGAGCGGCTCAGTCGAGCCGAAGGCATATGCTTTGGCTCGGCTGAGCCGCGCTGAAAGCTGAAGCTGCCGGCCGACAGCCTGCTTCTGACAGCTGGGCAGAGCCAGCCGTGATCATACGGCTGGCTCCGGTCACTTGCAGAGAGATCAGCGTCCCTGGTTACCAGCTAACCAGGTACACTGATCTCCAGACAGCAAACTCACCCGGGCGCTCAAGAGAGAAACACTGATTTTTCTTTTTTTTTTTCTTTATTCTTTATTTTTTTATTTTTATTTTTTGACGGCAGCAGAACCGCCGGCCAATAGAAAACTATTGGGCGGAGCTAGCTGTCATTGCTAGCCCCGCACAATCATTTTCTTTTTTCTTTTTTTTTACTTTTTAAACTATTTTTCTGTTCTGCTCGGTACCTCTGAGGGACCGAGCAGAACAGCCGAATGCCGCTCAGCTCAGCTTAGTGAATAGATCCCTAAGTATATTTTTGTGATAGTTTAGTTCTACGTAAGGGAACAGGTATGAGCAAAGTTGTATTACCAAGAAGTGAAGAGGTGCACTGGCAGATGTTCATCGGTCATATCTCACTAGCAGAAGTTCATAAAAGCAACAGCCATGCATTAACTGTTATATAAATGCAGATATGTATACACGAAGATGTACATTTTAAAGCCTTTATCATAAAAGCTACTGTAGCTTACAGTAAAGTCAAACAAAGAAGTAAAGAAAATGTAATAACAAAAAATAAAATTCAGCAAATTGATGTAGTAGAATGTGTGACAGACTGTAGGAAAGTGTTTACAGATTTACTTGAATTAAAGCACTTGCTAGAGGCAAGTCAGGTTACCTATGCAAGGGCAACAGTCACGTAATCTCTATTGAAGTGGCTTAGGGGGCAGACAGGTAAACCCAACTGGTAAATAGAGGTGCCTAAGAGACCATCTGCCCAAAGCTCAGATTCAGGTAAATACAGCAACAGGCACATTTTTCCATACACTCAACATTTGCCAAATTTGATTACATTTAAAGCCTATTTCTGGGATAAAACTAAGCCACCTCAACCCCCTCAAAAACACTAAATGCCCATCATCCCATGGTCAAATGTGTTATTCCAGGACCAAGTCCTCTTTCTCCCTCTGTTTATTTCTGAAGGGCTCTTTCTCTTGGTGTCCTTGTCTGCATGATGTGGACACTTCTTAACTTCCTATTGGCTTTCCAGTGGCAGGGCCTTCTCAGGATCTAGAAAAGGAGTTATGTAATTTCAAAGGAATTGGTAAGGGATAGTGGAACCCATGCTGGACTAGAGGTTCTCCACACCCAGAAACAGCACTGGCACGGGACCTGGAAGGGAGAGCTTAAATGGGTATAATTTGCTAAATCAGGCAAGAAAAAATAAAAAACCTGTAGGATGAGTTAGAGCGTGATGGGAGGGAGGCATGGCAGGGGGGTAATATTTGGCCTGGAGAGGGGCTTTACAAGAAAACTCCCATACTCAAAATACCAAACTCATTTTGAAGGTTCTTGAAAGGTTTATGTGCAACCTAACCTTTATCTTCATGAATGCCTAAGCACTATAGTGTTAGTTAAGTATTAAATACGTTTTAAAAAGACACAGACATCAGGGGTAAAAAAAACGCTCATATAAATTAGTGCAAAACTTTCCCTTTGAGTACAAAACTCACACATGAGGGCTCTAAAAGTTTTCCATGTTGTCTTTAGGGCAAATCTGCTAGATATGTAAACTCTCACGGGTACGGCCCTCCTTACCATCTTGTCTTGAATTGTATTGTGACTTTAATATCTTCCATATATTGTAAAGTGCTGCGCAAACTGTTGGCACTATATAAATTAGGGACGCACAGATACTTTTCGAGTACCAGTACATATATCATTAGTCCGTATTGTTTTAGAAAAACTGTCACATGACAATTACCAAAAATGTATCAGTACTCATACTTGTAAGTACTCGGCAAGTACCAGTACTCGTACTCGCAAAACTGGTATCTGTCCATCCCTTTATTTATGTACAATAAAACAGAGATGTACAAATCCCAGGAGCTCTGTGTGCTCCTTACAAAGGACAGCTGCCTCCTAATTTTTGAATTTTTCTCTAGTCTAGTCTTGGAGCTCAAAAGTATCGGTACATGTACTCGTACTTGTACCGAGTACTGTACTTGGTATGTGTGCAACCCTAATATAAATCCTGTATGAGCAAAATATTTGTAACCCTTCTTGTAATAGAGCCCATCATCCTTCAGCTTCAGTATGTTGTTTTTTTTGGATGTTTGTTTTTTTCCTCTTGAAGCATCAGCCTAAAGCTGAAGGGCATATGGTCTGGTATCAGCATAGTAGCAGGCCCACATACTCTTGAACCTTTTTCTGTACAGGCCCATATGCTTAATGTATCCATGGGCAAGTGGGGGGACACTCTTTGTGATTTATAAAATACCTAATTGAAGCAGATCTAAAAAAATCTTAGCGAATCAACAGATTCAATCTAGTCAACAGGACCCTGAGAGCAGATTGGTATGTCTATCAAATATTTACTCACCGTCACAGTAGAGCAAAAGTTTTTAAAACTGATCAATGATGAAGTGAAGTTAAAGTATATCTAAAACCATAACTTTTATTCACTTCTTTTGGATAGAATAGAGAATGGTTTAAACTTAGGGTTTTTTTTTCAGTCACTTTCTGTCCTGTAGACACAACAGGAAGTGATAGGAAATATCTACAAAGTTGCTTTGTTTTCAAAAAGTTCGATTTTCCCTTCATTTCCTTTCTAAAGAAATTGGTAACCAGGACTAAAAGAGAGAGAAAATCTTTCTGATGGGGGTCGCTGGCAGCAGTAAAATATGATGGGGG